CAGTTTACAGTCTTCCAGGCTTTGTTCAGTTGAATGATGTGTTAAGTACTTAGAGGAATAGTGGTGAAGCTCGCCATTATCTCCTTCTAATATCCTAAATCTGCATCCACTGATTGCAGTTTGAATGAGCTGAATTGTGAGTTCTACTGTAAACTTTCTACCCTCCCATTGAAAGCCAGACGTTTGGATGGGGTCATCGTAGCGGGTGATCTCGATATACAAATAGGAAGGCTAAGTCAAACAGAAAGTCACTCAGGTAGTAATTTTGCAATCCTTACTCATCTCAATTACAATGGCGACTGTCTGTCATAGTTGTGCTCAGAAGATGACTTATTTCTGGTTAGCACGAATTTCTTAAATGGAAATGGAGAGATATTGTGTGATTTGGTGACCATCAGTCTGTATTGGAAACCTGTATTTCTACCAGTCATCGTTGGAAGATCTCCACTCCTTCTGTTGCACATTTTTGTGTAGTGGATCAGATGCTCGTCGGTGCATTCTTCATGCTGCGTTAAAATGGATGTGTGACAACTGCAGTAGACGGTTGTGAACTCAACTCTATGATGCGGTTATTTTGGAAAAGTTTAGACAGTTAGCGTAACATGACATAGCTACTTTCTTTGGCGAAATCTAGTGCCCTCTCTAGTCTACTATAAAAACAGCATTGAAGACCATCACCAACTCTCAGAATGTGGAAAAGGATGCCAATGGATCTCAACTGCTTCGTCTTGATTAGTGGACGCACGCGAACGCACTCAGACAGGCTTCCAACACAGTGAGTGGAAGCAACAGTTATGTGGATTGGTCAAACGTCTAGGCAATGACAGCGAACAATTGTGGGTGGGTAACGAAGGCTGAAGAGATGGGAAAAGCAGTGGCGATAGGTGATTGTAGCCAGTTGTTTAGATTGATCAAGTAGACGGAGAGCAGATATGTCAGTGACTGGTGAGACGATAATGGAGAAGGATAAGTCTGTGATTCACTCGCAGGACAGACAACAGGAACGATGAGTGGAACACTTCGAGGAACAGTTTAACTGACCTCCAGTTACTATTCCGTTGCCTGTTGTCCAGTCGGATCGTGAATGAGATATCGAGAAAGAGCCATCAACATTTGCAGAAGTTGAGGAAGCTGCAGGCATTCTGAGGCGAGGAAGAGCAGCAGGACCAGATGGAGTAGTACAAGAGGTATTTAAGGATGGTGGTCGTGGATTATTGTTTAAATTAGATGGTGTTGACTTGTGAATGGAAATCAGATATGATGCCCTCCGACTCGTCTGTCACTGGTTATGCCAGTCTTGGATAAAAGGGGGAAGTCCTCTTGTGATAACCACAGGGGAACTAGTCTGATATACTTAGCGTTTAAGATTCTATTTCCTGTAATTATGAGAGATCTTGGTTGAGCTTGGTAACAGTGAGTCCGAGAAATCCAGGCAAGCTGCAAACACGGCCATGGGCGTGTCGACTGGATACTCACCTTCTGCCAGGTTTGGCAATGCAGATATGCTGGCTTTTCTTATAGTCATTTACTCAATAAACGTGAAAGGTAAGTGAGAGGTTCCATACATGTCATGTACGAAACGGAAATGAATATTACTATCGGTTGTTTCGAGTTGGAAATATTTTCAGTGTTAAGAAGGACTTTATTGACTGACATGAGAGGAATTTCCAAGGTTTTTTGAATTTCATTTAAGTGGTTGAAATTCACTCAAGTATTCTCCTGTTACTTGTGTAAATATTCAGTTAGCGCGTAAAATAGTTTACAAGATTAGTAAAGGTTATGACATACACTTATTTGTACTCTGTTTTGTACATTGATTGGTCACTGGAGAGCAACGAATCTCATTTTGTCTTATCTTGATATTTAACCGAACTCTATGGATCATTTCGCAATGTGTCCATCAGGGTAGGAGGCTCACCATCTCGGTGCATTTTGATGGATGTTAGTTGGTTGGAGGTAATCGGTAGGAGGCTGTGGACCTCGGTCTCGTGCTTGTTGGCACTCCTCAGCAAGATGTATCTGCAAATCTGTTTTTGTCCTACGAACTTGAGTCAATATGTTTATCTGTCTTGTCGATTGCTTACGGTCTAATGTTTATACTGCGTCCATAGTACGGTCACTCGTATCAGTTAAGTACTTTTACAAATATCCAGGTCCTTTCCCATAATTTTATCACTTATTATTATTATTAACACTAGTCCACCAACCAACAAAAACGTCTCACTGTTCACACTGATGTGCTTCCCCACATTTCATATCCATAGACTGATGATTCATCTACATGACTCTACTGTCTAGACTATATGTGGTGTCGTAGGGCAGGTCTTACCATCTGATTACTCCGATGTTATGTACATAATTTATCTTTCTTTCTACATCTATTAAACTCGATTGTGCACAACCTTGATATGCTGACGAAGGCTAGTAGTGATTATATGATTCAGTAAGCTAATACTCCGACATAACTGTTCACTTATAATTTATCAACGCATGCTTTTAAAGGTCACGAGCGTCATATTATTGTCGGCGTTGCTGATAAGAATGGATATAAGTAGTATGTGTTGAGAGGATGGCAGGAATCATAGGGAGTTACCAGCAATGGGTAAGGATTCTGCCAAGAGCAACCCAAGGGATAACGTAGGCGTATTACAGTGGATGCTGCTGATAAGAATGTATGAAGAGCAAATCGAGAGAGATAGAAGAGGAAACGAAGCACATTTTGCAAATGATGGGTTTAGTGCCAGGTGTACCATATGTGGGGAATACCGTTTCAATTGTTGATAACAAGCATTATTTCCGTCGTATCTGTCTTATGTCTTTTCACTATGAATGAATGATGAAAGTGACTAGAAAAGTACGCTGTTAAACACTCGCTAACTTTAACTTATAATTAGCACCCGTTTAAGCTAAAACCCAATGAGCCAACATCTCGAAGGAGTTGTTCAAGAAATTTAGAATGGTAACCATTATAGCAGCTATGATATTTGTGCACTTCAAATTAGTCATAGGATATCAAGAGGGAAACCGCTCCCAGGCATTCGAATAAGTGAAGCTTGCACTCAGGATAACGGTAAAAGATCGCAGGAAACTATTATTGACGAATATCAATTGATGTGATGAACTCAGGCGGTAGTATTCCAAGTATCTTAAGGGTCTTATCATTAATTATGTGTTTTAGTTGCACGATTGCTTTCTTTCAACAATATACTGCACTAAACTTGTTATTAGACAGAGTCAAATGCTATCATGGAGTCAAAAATATGGTTTACGTGGTGCATCAGCTAATTACTGTTTTTTCCAGACTCAACAAAGAATCAAAAATGGTCACTGAAAGCCTCATCTAACTTAAAATTTGTGGGACAATCCTTGAAGATTCTACTCAGAAACAACCATCGAAAACTGAACTGCCAATCCCGGAATTTTTGGAACTAAGTATGCTGTAAATAAACATTACTTCCTCACAACAAATAAAACTTCAACTAATCTGTTTGTTGATATTGGATTACCATTCCAGAATAATTTGTTTGTTAGATGAATTATGGACAGAAACAGTATTACTTGATGGAGCCTGATATAATCATGGACTATAAATTGTGTCTGGAAAGTTATCCAGTAAGGAACTGTTTCACTTTGTGATTAGGAAATTATAACAGAATCACAATAACCTAATAGGGTAAAAGTTCTACTCATATATTACTTGGTCCATTTTTAAAGAACCTGTCTCCAAATCTTGAGGCTATGCGCTCGGTGGGGGCTAGTAGTACAATCCAAGATGTGTTTCGGTCTATTTGGGACTCACCAACTGGATCCACATACATTTCAGTGAGTGATGGTGTTTCCAACGAAACTCGAACGATGCATCCACCACTTTAAGCGCCAGAGCGTTATCCACCAGGCTGCTGAGTCACGGGGATGAACTAGAACGGAACGCGCGTCTTGAGTTCCACTCCTACTTACTACAAAACAAATAGCAATGTATAGCTTGAGGCACCCCTCCAAGTAGCCCATAAATTAACAGAGGTCGACTAATTCGATCCGATACAATGATCAATGGAAAATCACAAGAACCAATAAATAACCACCCCTATATTCTGTGTGTATACAAAGTGATCAGATGGTAACTGATTTGAGTTCTCAGAGCTGACAGAAACCAACTTTGTGATATGACTACTAGACCCAGTGATATATCACTGGGGTGAACTATATTAGTTCAGTGTTATCTGACAGAGCATTCTGTGGATTAAATCCACACATATAGGATCCAATTTTTATCGCAGTTGAATGGTGGAGGGTTTCTGAAGGCCAACCAAATTTCATTATATGTTATAATTATTGCTACATTCACCTACTCTGAGTAGCCTTTTAGAAGAGTCCTTGATGATCGTATTTTCTACACACTTGTCTTTTATCAGTCCTGCCAGTTAATGTTGAAATCCTTGGTGAACCTGTATTTCAGTAGTACTCACTTTATAAAGTATTCAGAGCGCATAACCAGTGACTTCTCTGCACCAAATGTCAGTTGGGAGGATATAAATTGGGTCGCACTATAGTAGCAACCAGAAATCGCTAATAAAAAAGCTAAGTTTAGAATCTAGGAATTTAATATCAATAATAAATTTTGGAAATAAAATCATACATATTGGCTATGATTTTTATCCCAGTCAATGAGAATTGAAGGTGATGAAAACCATATCCAACTAGCTATGTAGTCGTTTGGATCTTTCGGATTTGAATTCCTAGTGGACATAACAGAATTTCTGTTCCATACAAGATATTCAATCAACAGAATTACAATAAACGCAATTCTACGCAGGTTTCATGAAGACGACATAATACCCTGACTAAATCAGACTGAAGGTTATTGCGATGAATTCAGATTATCTAAGTGCTCCATAGCGGTAACATATTATAAGTTTTGAGTTCTAAACATATACAGAAAGTTACTACTAAGAAATATATTACACAAAACAAACAGATTCATACAAATAAAGAACACTCACCATTTTCTTCGATCACAAATCGAACTACAATGTGGGTTTACACAAATCTGTTCCGACACATTTTCGAAACTTCCAATAGCTTGATTGTCGGTATAATTCCCAACCTAGTAAAAACATTTTGCAGAACTTAGCAAAAAAAACCAGAATCGCATAACAATCCGATCATGAAAGATTACTTAGGAAACGTCTCAAACTAAATCTAGGAGCTAGTTTACAGAAAAATTATAGGTTATTTCATTGAAATACTTGAAATTAATAATGGTAACTTTAAATTTTCAACCTGTAAAGTCAAACTGAAAAGCTCTTATTGTTATGTCAGACATTCTCAGCAGAAACTTCTTGAATTTTGCTCTCAGAATATTATCTAGTATGGCAATGAACGTTCTAAGATCGAATTATTCAGCTCAAGGAAAACAAAACGATGATAACCATCCCCATTTGGATTAAAAAATTCCCGTGCTGAAATCAAAATTACTTCAAACGTATAATTATTAGATTTGTACTTTGAGTTACCAATTTAGATATAAGAAGTCAGAATGGAGTTTCCAAACTTGCGAACCAAAAAGAAAACGTTATTAGTTGATCTGATAAACTTCTAACAACTACCATTTGATAATCCAATGATAAGAAATTTCGCTTTATACTGTTAAGTTACGGGAAGCGGTAAGCAAATCTGGAGGAAGTTTTGTCGAAATCGAAATCTACTCATCAACTTTGTGCACATTCGTGCGGTAAGCGATGAGCCACACCTACTGTATCAGGGGTAATGATACTACCTAGCAGCTCAAACCCAGTTAGGTGGAGCGGCGCGTGATCCTTCGACCCACTGGAAGTCAACTCCCTAAACCAATGAGTAAGGACTCAAGAAGTGTTATGCAGGAACCTATAAAGTATTGATGCTAATACTCTGCAAGTACGTTGCTCGGAATTAGTGTTGGATCTTAATCTTAGCGATCGAATTCTCAGAGAATTTCGACAATTCAAGCTGCATATCAGTATAAAGGATTGGAACTGCTCTTGAGTTAAAGATTTTAGTTTGAATCACAAATGACGACACTGACACGTGAAAGAAAAGAATCGTTACCTTCATTACCTTTGCAAGACAGCGATATCTTGAGTAGAAAGGCGAAGAGTGGTCTCCCAAGAGTTCTCTCAGTGTTTGAACCATGGCAACGAATGTGCGTTCTATAGCGAAATTATTTTACAGTACTGATTTAGTTCGACTCCACTCAGCTTTAAAAGCAAAAAGTATACTTTCGTCCTGGCCGGCGAAATCATACCACTAGAACCGTGTATCAAAAGTAGCATTTGCCTCTGGATCATAACGAAAATTTCATGATGCTATTCGCAATACCATCAATAGATGAGCAGTTATACCGCGAGCGTTTGACAACTCATCAGAAGAAAGTCTTGCGTTGGACAATCTTCATTTACTGATCAAGAAAACGGTCGAACACTCCGAACACTCGGTCGCCATTGGTGGGAATTTCGGATACGGTTAACAAGGGATGTGTAATCGGGATACCGAATGACCGATATGAAAATAGACAACTCGCACAGTTAACACAAGGAAGAAGATAGTATTGAACTAGAGAAAGATTACTTCAATCGAAGTATGAATCTAGGGGCGCAACTCCTGCGTTCATATACAATACGGGCGTCCTTGAGATGGATGGACTAGTATAATAAACTGTTCGATTAACCATTCGAGAATAAGCGTTTTTAAAAGCAGCAAAAATGAGCAATACAAGTGGGGCGAAAAGGTGAGAATAAGATTATTTACATTTTCTTAAGGATAAATTTATGAACGTTCATTTTTGGGGATCTAACATTTCCAGAGGTTCATACTCAAATGTTATCAAAAAATACAAGGTTCAACTGAATGAACGCGACAAATTTGGCTACAACTGACAAAAACTGCACTTCGGAATGTTAATAACTAATGGTCTTTGTGTTAGCATCGAGGCTTAAAATAAGGAAAAAAATTCATCAACAGAGACAGGTTTTTGTAGTGTTTGACTGAAATATTTTCAAATTTTATTCCGATTTCTTATGCGTAATGGTAGACAAGCGACAGCACTGCTACCCGTTGAAATATATCAATAACATATCCTAAAGTCAACTACAGATGGTTAGAATGCTTGTATTGGACCCAATTGCTGCATTATCGTTTGAACATGAAGAAACGAACTTAACCAGTTCTAATAATGGAGTTTAAATCTGTAGCTCTAATCTGTTATTAATAAACATAGATACGTTTTCTACTTATTAGCTTAAATCGTTATCATATATGTATGATAATCGTAGAAGAAACTACAAATTACAATTGTGGTTGGAGCGAAAGTTTCATTATTTTGGCAAATAGATTGGCTGAAATGAGTAGTTTGTTTATGCATAAAACCAGGTAATCAGAAAAAATGATCATAAACACAAAAGAGAGAAGAAAACTCAAATACCAATAACTCACGGAAATGCGAAAAAAATATTAATCTCACAAAAGTGAATAGATGATTGACAAATTTACTTTATAAACAACTGAGAGACTCAAGGCTTGACAACATACTGGATCACACGTTAACTCCAATTAACATCTCTATGCAAGAGGAAAATGAGAGTTAAGTCCGTATACATGTCCAATTTTCTGAAAACCAGAATGGATCAGCTGTACGTTAAAGTATAAATTAGGGTACTAAACTACTAGTAGGGTTGTACATTTGTCGGTGCATACACTACTAGGTTCTTGCGAAATATAAACAAGGCATAAAGTTTAACCAACTCTAATCATTAATTTTTAAAACAAAACCCATCAGGCAAAACTTCAACGACGTCATTAAACATCAAGTTTTTGTGATCGAATGATTCCTAGTTTTGAAAATTTATGACTGGTGAATAATATGTTCAGATCCCTGTTAGATGTACATTCCGTGACTTGACAAAAATAGCGAGCCTTAAAAAATTTGAAAGTAAAATGACCACCTTTTCAGAATTTTAAAACACGCTATAGTTATATGCTTCCTTTAGTTAAAACAGACATCTGAAATATGAATTTTCAGCCAGCTAAACACAAACAATTTAGTTACGTAATTGATGAAGATATCAAGAACCACGGAAATTTAACAGAATTATGATTGGCTTCTGAAAGACGATTCTGCAGAAATGTATACACATTATAGTTACATTGAAACCATGAAATTTACACATTAGGTTATGCAATTTTTCAAAAAAGACCTAGAAATAAGATGAAAGAAACTACAGTCCTCCAGCACAACTTGAAAATGCAACGAAATCGCAACAAAAAATCTCTGAAATGCCAGAAATTAGCTAGAAAATATTCATTTATAGCTTGCAACATTAACTCATCCCACAAAGACAGGTTCAGCTCTTCGGGACGGAAAAAACTTATTCTTACTGAAAGTTAAATTATTTCAGGAATAAATTACCTCATATGGATATATTTGCAAGAAAAGCTGTTGCTACTCTCAAGTAAACGTTTTTCATGTTACATGAAAACAGAACCTGAAGTCATTTATGAATTATTGAAATTAATAATTAGAGCACTTTTGTGCTCCACCTACAACCCAGATGAAGCTCATGTTGCAAGCCTAACGCTACTTATTTTATCTCTATAGTTTAAACATAAATTTGCCGTGTCAACTTACTCCCGCTATTTCTGTTACTAGCATTTTCGAATAGTAACTTCTTAGGATTGTCTGTAACCCTAAGCAAGACACCGCTGAACAACATAAAGTGAATAAATAACTAAAAAGGCCTTGTGGGACATTAAAAAACGACCTTAAAACACATATCGAGAAATAAAGCAATTAATACAATGTTACCTGTATTGTTTGAGTCTTGCAGAATACTTCATTATCACATGATTTCACGGCTAATAAAAAGACTTCATCACCAGGGTTTTTTTCTGGATATTTAGCGTACGAACTTAGTTCTGTATCTCCAGTTGTGCTTGAACAAGAAAAACTGGTATGCCAATTAGTTGGAATACATATGGAATCATTTTGGTGTAAATTATTTTCCTTAAGAAGTGGGGAATCTATAAGTGCGGCCATGCATGTTAAGCGCCTCCAGTCGGCTTGATAAACCGCAGCTCTATTGGTGTGCTCAATTATATCACACAGGTCAGCAGCTCGGTCAGATAGAAACAGGTGACTCCCAGGTGCCTCGGGATGGTCAGGAAATGCAGTTAGGAAGAAAAGTGATGGAGGGTTGGTAAAGTCTCCCTTTACGGTGTTTTGAATGCGGGCAGTACCACACTGTACAATCTCATCATTGTCAAAGGTCCACGTGGCTAACAGACGAGGACGAGAGCATCCTGGTCCAGTGGTAAAACATATCCGATCACGAGTTACATGTAAATAGCCATCAGTAGAAGTATTTGACAGTCTAAGACACAATTTTCTTGGAAATGCAACCACATGATTGAAACGCCTTTGAATGATTCGATGACTTTTTCTATGACATGCATAGCTATGCAGATTGCTATTTTTAGGAGCGACGATAAGGTTAGCATGAAAATATGAACCTAGGGAATATAAAAAGCAACAAGTCAGTAATGCCGGAAAAACCGAAGAAAGACTACATGTTGTACTTCAGTAGCGGCTGGTGAAATGTAGTGATGTGATACTTAACACCTATCTCATTCGCAACAAGCAATGAGCTTATTTTTAACGAGAGTTATCTGCCGACGACTTCATAATAAAACGTGTGAGGTGATGCATATGCTGAGAATCATGTGATCAATAATCATGCCCAGAACACTGGGTCACGCTTCACAGTTGCCGACTGATTGTATTGGATAAAGAAGTTTGTTTCATAAGTCTTACGCCAACTCGGTAAAATAAATAAATTATGGTGCTTCCCATGCTACCGAAAGTGATGTTGATGATAGCCGAATTAGGCGCTTTTAAAACTGTATAAAGCTGACTGAAACTAATTATAGATAAATAAATGAAGTAGAATTCACTCCAGCCCATATAACTGACCGATGTCATTCGTTGGATAATAATATAATATAGTGTAGAATACACTGACTATGAACTACTCATTACTGTTGCCAATGGACACGTATGAAACAATACCACAAAAACATAAGAGAATATGTCAAACTGGAAGGGTGGAACTACAATCCTGACAATTACTTATAAGAAACAAATTCATTTTGAAGAAACATTTGATTACATGAGGCTTTTTTTAATAACGTAAACAAAGCAAGTAGAACTAGCGTGCGACAGGATGTCAGCAGAGCTGGTTACACATTACTACAGAAATCAATAGAACCAAACAACAGTATATACATAAATAAAAGACTCACTGCCACAATACAATGCTATTGTAATGCATACGTGGAAAACAACTCACAATCGTAATGATGGCTTACACTGATTGTCCAAAGTTTTGCCTAGTTTAACAAGGTACAACGGTTTGTAATAGTTTAACCTTCTTTACAGGACAATTCCTAAGAGAAACGACTCCGATTTGCAAGATTTATTAAGCGATTAAAATTCTGTATCTGTCATTTGACTTTCAAGTTATCGTAAAGGTGTAAGTACTATGGTTTTCATCCTTCATTCTTGGGTTCGAAATATACTCAAGCTAGGACACAACATACGGTAATAAGTTGCACAAATTAAGAATTACTAGATAAAGCAGACAAAAGCTAGTAATGAAACTACCAGCAACGCTTTGTAGTTACTAGGTACCGATTACGACCCTGAATAGTTATAGGATATCCTGAATGATGTGATGAATTACAAACTTTCTGTTAAGGAATATGACAACAGATATGCGAACATCTCTGAATATTAGAACTTCTATATTTTAGTAACTTCAAAGGTAGACGCACAGACTGACAAGTCAACAAAATACTTTGCAAATAGGGGTATCGGTATAAGTTCCCACGCCTAAGTGCAGCACACAAAAAACTAAGCGAACAGAAATATAATGATATCATATTCGAAAATGTGTGAGAGATGGTATAAATCTACGAAAATTAGTAAAATGCTACTGATACGTCAGTTTTACCACACTCAATGATACAAAGACACCTATTAACAAAACTCGCAGTCCCCTTTTCGTCCCTTACTTTCAAACACTACGCCTCACAGCCGTGCAATAGGGTAGAACGGACGGCTGACTTTTATACTCGTCTTTGAATGGGTAGTCAGATTTCAAGCCAGTAGTGTATACGTAGTTGGCAAACACCCAATGAGCACTTGCATTTACGCGTTTACACAGGTCCACTACCTCACGATGATACGCTTCTCAGCAGCAAAAGGGAAACTAACATACAATAAATATCAAGATGAATAGTTATGTGAGGGAGCTGACATCAGGAAGTGGACAATTTGAGACTTGTAAAGTGAACAGAAAACTCACCTGCTTCTCAAGCAATAATCTCAGTTGCGACAATTTCGAACAGGTAAGACTAAGCATGCTCAATAACTACAGCAGAATATATCTTATCCAGATTCTACAAACATAACACTTTCTGGTTACCTTTCAAGTACGTTTATAAATCAGATCTGTCAAATGTATATGTTTATGGCACAAAAAGACAAACTAATAGGAAAAACTCATTGTAGATATAAACACGTGCCTGACTAGTTTACCTTTGGTTGTGACTTAATGCAACACTCTGAGTCAAAATTTGAAAAAATTATGGAACCCACACCAAAGAACGTACACATTAGGTTGGCTTTGAGTACATCATCCCACCTAGTCATTTCCTCAAAATGTTCAAAGGATATGCACCGCAATTTATAGGTGCATACGAACATAATTGTCCCATCATGCTTCGAATCCACTCCAAGTATATAGGCATGGACATCCTGACTGCGACAAATGCTTCCATCTTCGTTGAACACATGTAGCTTTATCGAGTCTTAAGACCATGAATAGAAGAAAAAACAATAATACTTGTAAACGTTGCCAAACGTTCAAGTGCACAGAGTTTTCGCTTCCACTGAAAATTTTAGATAACCAGTTAAACACATTTACCTTTCCATCAAGTTTCACTGGCACGATACCTTCAATCAAGCGGCCAACATTGTTCATTTCACAGAACGTGAAGTCATATATCGCCTACAAGGTCGTTGCCGAAAAATGCCGCTTACGAAAACTGCTAGATGTGTAACGCATTTAAAACCTTACTCCAATATCCAATAACTGATTCACCAATTTGTAGGTCTTGCAGGACGGTTTCAGGTCTGTTATGGATTCTGATGCAGTAGACCCGTCCACAAGCCTGCTGTAGCTTCGGCTCAACTGACAGACGGTTAGGTACTGGTTAAATTTGTAAACAGGTGTATGATTTGTCTTGGATTCCTCAAATGTGTCGCCAGACAGCTGTTCGGACTGGTAATAAAATGAAAAGAAAAAGATGGGAAAAATACCCGGTGAAAAAGGGGTAGAGGAAGGTAGAAAAGGCAAGCTGAAAGGAAGTACAGCCACAGGAATGGAAAAACCTGGGCAGATTTGAAAAACGGGAAAGAAAACTGTTAAAAGGAGGACGTAAATGGTGTCAGAGGGAGCGGAAGAAGCAGGCGGGGTAGTTTCGCGCCACAAGACTACGTTCTGACGAACGATGAACTTCTCATTGAGGATGTTTGCATCCAACCTCCCCTTGGCCTCAGTGACCACGCTGTAATCACCTTCTCCATGATAACTAGGGAGGCTCTGCAACTGGAGACGCCCAACACCTTCCCTTGCTACAGCAAGGCCAACTATGAGACCATGAGGGACTACCTCATGAATGCATCATGGCCAGTGGACTGGACTCATCTCACAATAGATGAACACTGGTTGGAGGTGAAGAAAATAATCACTGGGGCCATCAGTCACAGTGTACCAGAAGTAACACACAGACAATCAATGAGAACCTCATGGTTAAAGCGTGGGACAGAGAGGCTTATCCGGAGCAAGAAGCAGGCTTGGTTCAAGTGGCTTACATCACGCAGGGAGTCTGACTTCTTGAACTATAAAAGGATTCGCAATCTCTGTAACATTAGAGTGCGTAACGACAGATTTTCCTACCAAACAAACTTGGCAGCGAGGTTACAAAGCAACCCCAAAAACCTGTACCGCTTCATGTCAAGAAGAAAGTCGACCAGTAAGGGAGTGAATCTTGTCACAGGCCATGACGGGAGTGTGCTAAGCAGTCTAGAGATTGCCGAGCTTTTGAGCTCACACTTCCAAGCCCAACTCAGCACTGACACAAGATCCACACCGACTCGCCACGACACCGACCAGGTCGCAAATAACGAATACCTCTGTCACGTCTCTATTACAGAGAAAAAGGTGTTCGAGAAGCTATCTAGGCTACGTCCGGGCAAGTCCCCTGGCTGCGATAATCTGAAACCAGTGGTTCTGAAAAACTGCGCCGAGGTGCTTACCAAACCACTTCGCAACCTCTTTGAGCACTCAATAGACTCGTGCAAACTCCCTAAAGAATGGAAGAGTGCCATCTTGTCACCCATCTTCAAGGGAGGAGACAGAAAAAACCCTGGCAGCTACAGGCCGATTGCCCTACTCCCTATTGTGTCGAAAGTGTTGGAAAGCCTGGTAGCTGACACCATCTGGGAATTCCTCAATAGAGAAAACACTGTCCACACTGCTCAGCACGGCTTTCGTAGTGGTCGCTCATGTGCCACCAACTTACTAACTGCCTGGGACGACTGGACACAAAGCTGGGATAATAGAAAACCTGTACATGCTGTATTTCTCGACCTAGCCAAAGCATTTGACAGTGTCCCACCCACAGTACTGCTTCACAAGATCATGTCAGCTGGTATAAGTGGACCCCTACTCTCTTGGTTCAAGGAGTACCTGGAAGGGAGGCAGTTCTGCACTAAAGTGAACAGAATAAGGTCGGAGTGGAGACCGTCGACGTCAGGAGTATCCCAAGGAGCAATCCTAGGACCGCTTCTGTTCCTCCTCTTTGTCAACGATCTGCCAGACAAAATATCCTCACCCATCCTCCTCTTCGCTGACGACATAAAAATTTGGAGGGTGGTAAACGAAGAAGCCGACTGTGCAGCACTACAAAAGGACTTGCAGCAACTCGAGCTCTGGTCGTCGGAAAATGGTCTGAGCTTCAACTGGAAAAGTGCAAAGTAATGCACATCAGTAAAAATGAGGCAAGTACGACCGACTTCCAGTACATGTTGAGCAACCGTGCTATCACCAGAGTGTCCATGGAGAAAGATTTGGGGCTCAACTTCTCCGACACCTTGGACACCAGCTCCAACTACAAAGGTATGACAACCAGAGCGAACGCCATTCTACACTTTCTGCGTAGACAGCTTGGCGCCCTCACTCCCGAACTCTTCCTCACCATTTTCAAATCCTACGTGCGGCCGCACCTAGAGGTCTTCAATACGGTGGCTCCTCCAACACTCAAGAGAGACTCTAATCTCCTTGAAAGAATACAAAGAACTGCAACAAAATCAGTTGTGGGGCTAAGGGGAAAGACGTATTCTGAAAGACTTAAACACCTCAACCTATTTACCTTGGGTTATCGCAGGAAAAGGGGTGACCTCATTATGGCATACAAGATCGCCCATCAGGCAGACCATGCAAACAAATCAATTTTGCCTGCAACTGAACGATCTTCACGAGGAAACCCCTTTAAGATAGCACACCAGAGAGCCAACACCACACTCAGGTCCAAATTTTTCTCCCTGAGAGTATGTGCTTTATGGAATGCCTTACCGCGACACATCGTTATAGCTCCTTCAATCGACTCTTTCAAGAGGCGATTAGACAGTTATGTCACCTCGCATGGACTACCACGGACGTACTCAGGTAGTCACCAACCTCAGTACCCCCAACTCCCTCCTAACTACCACTCACTATCTCTCTCCTTAATACACCCACATTACCTACTAATTCTTCTGTAGGAACCAAACCCACGCGACCATTCGGGCAATTCCCAAATACTTTTCTTTCGTTCTCATTTCTCTCTTCACCCCTTCTTTTATTCTCCTTCCCTTTCCTCTTCCCTACATTATTATTACTATTATTTTTATTTTTAATTTTATTTATTTTTTATTTATTTATTTATTTTATTTTTATTTTTTTTATTTTATTTTATTTTATTATTTATTTATTTATTTTTTTACTCTTCCTTATTTCTCTCTTCATTCCTTTACCACTACCTTAATATTCTCTTTCAGGTACCTACACAGACAGGAGTCACGGTTGTTCTCTAAACTTCCCAGCAGCCCGTAGCTCCCTAATCACTCTACAAATTACAACCTACTAACCCACAAAACATCCACCTCACCGAAGCTAAAAGCAAGAAAGCAGAGGGGATTTCCTCGTCCACTGCAGGAGTGAACCGAACAACTGGAACCAAGCCCTAAGAACTAGACGCGAGAGATCAAAAACTACTAGTTTTCTACGCTCGCACTATCAATATTGGATATTGGATATTGGAAGACAGCTGTTAAGACTGGTTATGAGAGGAAGATAATGGGGTGAATAGATAAATAAGAAAATCGATGGGAGGGAAATGCGAAAAGACAGAAGTGAAAGAAGCAAAACTTTCAATTTCCGAACTGCCCCATCTTCTCTCTGTGAACTGCCACCTTTGTCGGACACCTTATGTTGCTAATCTCAAGCACATTAGTTCTGCCTGCGGAGTCATCGGCTCATGTCATCCTCTTTCGTCTTCTAGATGGTTGTGGTTGCCGCAGAACTAACACTCTCCTATGCTCTGCGACACTTCAATAACATTCCTAGAGGCTAGACAGAAACCTGCTAACAGATGGATGTCATGGGTGTACCAAGGCCAAGGGCATCAGTACCCAGTATACCTTAAAAATATCCAGCGTATTTCCTATAGTCTTATAGAGCCACTTAATTTCTTTGCACTAACTTTTGGGTCCTATGGAATGGTAGTATGTTTCTTTTGGATTCTGATGCGACAGATTCACCCAAGTCTGGAACACTCAGTGGCTGGTTGGTTGTTGAGGTTCAAATTTTCACCTTGGAGTTACCAAGATTTGAGCATGTAACAACCCTTTTCCAGTAAATGTCATAACATGTCGGGTCTTTTCTTAGTTGATAGCCTGGAGATCGCTGCCACTTGGAACCAGTTCCGGCTGATGTTCACTCCATTCGAAAACCAGTGCTGCACTGAGATGACGTTCGTCTTTCGCTTTCGTACCTTCTTGTTATGTCCTCTGTGGTGACTCAGCCTGGTGAAAAAGAAAATAGAAGAGAGGTTCAAAGATATTTCCCAAAACCCTATGCACCGTGGCTAGATTTCTCTTCTGTCTGGGAAAAAATAGGGAGAGGAGGTTCGGCTCCTAACCCTTCGTGGGCTGGGTTAACTACCACGGTGATCATACTAGTGACCACCTGGTGAAATCCCTCCGAAGGTCTGAGGTGCCTTGCAGACAAGAACTCGCTGTCTATGCAGTTTTCCAGTTGGTGTGTAACTAGGGCCGTAAATAAAGTGAGCAGGTCAGTACTGAGCTTAGTCATGCTCAAAGCGGCCTAAAGCGCCCAGCCGTGACCAGTTGACAGTGAACTGTGATCTTCAAATCGTGACTTACTGGGGCTGGGTCGTTGTGGGTCAAAATTAAGGCCAGATCGGTTCCCCCATACCGTGGGTGGAGTCTTCCGTATGTTGCAGGTGCATGCTGACATCTGCGTTGACGAGCATCAGATATTTCTCCGAACAGGTTAGTGGACTGTTTAGGTCTGTCTGGATTCTGGGTGCGTCTTCGCCACCTCTGATTTCCTGCCAGATTCTTATCTAATCAGCGCTAAGAATCATCAGGGTTTCGTTATATGTAATAGACAATTTATTTATAGGGAAACAGCAAGCAATCTAGCACTGCACCTCCCTGCACTCCGCTCCTTACCAACCACAAACAGAAGTACTGAGAATCAATTCCTTGTGTTTGCCTCCGTCCAACGATGAACTTTTTGACCCATACGAGCAGATTGAGATTGATTCCGAAGTTTTCTGGTTTCCTGGGCGACCTCGGATGAGGTGCGCTATCGAAAGCCCTACTTAAGTTTATGTAAATGACATCAATTGGCGTCCGGTAGTTCTTAGACTTAATCCAACTTTCCCTGACTGTGAGAATTTTCGCCAGGCAGGAGAAAC